TTAGTACTACTTTCCTATATATTTATGTTTTGCTGGGTGATGCAGGTGCCGCTTAATTTTCTTTCGGCACTCATAGGACCATCATCATTGACTCTACCCGCCAAATTGATTGGAATTTTGATGGAAAGCTCATTTTTTTGACTTTTTATTCCTTTGCTTAAGCTGATAATCATCCTTTGTTTTTTGTTTAAAGTGTGCTTATTGATATTGTTGTTCACAGTTACTAGAAGGGCTACAAAGCTCGTTGATCATCTCAAAAATCCCATCAGTATCACATGACAGAGGTCATAAAAGTCAGGGCAGAAGTGCCTCTAGGGGTGAGATCTTGAATATACGAGAAATCTTTTATGCCTTTAAGTGATATGAACACATTCAACCTTGATGCACTGATACATTTAAAACTGATTCTTTCATGTAACAGGGAGTAATCATAGTTGAGATGACAATGCCAGGTCCATGGCAAATAAGCTCAACAGTTAGTGGATGATCAAATACACACCAGCTTAGCTTCTGTTTATAAAGTATAATAGAAGAAAGCTATTGCTTCAGTCAGTTTAATTATGGTTACTAGTTGGTAGATGTTCATATTGATTTTTAGTTTCATAACAGTTATGATTTGATGTCCTTAGGCCTTTACCCTAATAGGTTGTATATGAAAATTATCAGCGTAGTTTGGCATGAAATTGAAGGTGAAATTGAAGGCAGCTTTTGCACAGACGATGAGCCTAATATTTTGTTGATCCATCTTTTGCTTCATGAGAAATTGTACATTACAAAGCATTGGGTGTCATGATATTGCTTGAAGAATTTGTAGATTGTTTCATTTTGTTTTTACCTAGCTCGCACGTTTGCATTCTAACGAAAACTTTGTTGACTACCTGTACAAACACAATCTAGTTGTATGCCAAATGGTTCTTTTTATGTGCAGCCTCAAAAATGGTTGAACTATGCAGATAGTTGAAGGATACATGTGCTTGTCATTTTCTTGCAGTACAAGGTACAGCATGCAGATTAGGAGGTGTCTTGATGGTCCTAAATGTTGTATGGTAATGGTGAAGATATGACTTGAAGAGAACGATCAGATTAGTGTAGTCAGTGTTTATTCTGAATGCCGCTGAAGATGTTCTGACATTATGTCATTCTTTGATGCTTTTTGGTTAGTGTACTGGACTGCTGCCCGAGAACTGAAAATGGACGGCTCATATTCGTGCATCCATTATGTTAACAAGAGAGCACTAAATCGGTTGGCAGAGTTGCCATTTGTCTTTTTTGTTTCGTTTTTGTTTTGTTTTTTCCTTTTTTTTTTGAAGATAAAAAAGAAAAATTGTAGAGAATTGGCCTTTATCTGTCAAGTAAAAGTAGATATAAAAGAAAGCATTTGGAAAGCATTTCACACTCGAGAGAAGCTAAGTGTGAGCGTCGCAGAGTAAAAATAGTACACTACTTTTTAGGAAAAAAATATTGTAAGAAAAAAATTGAGCATACACAAAAGAAAAATATTACAAAGAAATAGCAAATACTATTTTAGAAAAAAAGTTTAGTTGTAGAAACGTGGATCAAACATAAATAACCCGGCATCATTTCGAAACATAGGGTCGGAGGAGGACAATGTCCGACTCTTTTTGAAAATATGTTAATATTCTTATAACTTTTTTTGGAGCAAATGAATAGAATAATCGATCCAGGTCAAAGTCAAATAATCGATAGATACCATAAATTAACCACAATATTTGATTAAAACCATGTAGAATACATTTAAACACATTCACATGTAACGTGTCTTAAATCAAATTAAATGCATTGATTTGTCAGATAAATTAACTACATAATATTTTATCAAAAATATAAAAGATACAGATGTGGGATATAATTTTAAGCACATTAATATCATTCTTCATCTAGTAATACTAAAAATAAAAGGAGGTGAAAGGACCTAAAGAAAAACTCGGATCCTTTTAACATAGAGAACAACTAGATAAAAAATTAAATTTATGAAATTAAGTGGTCAAAGGTTATTATTATGCAGTGCGAGATGATACATATTCTAAACCCCCCTCCTCCCCCAAGCGAGAAAAAGTATGCACGTGGCAGTTTAATGTACTAGGAAAATCAAAACTCCCAATTAGGGTATTCTCAAATTTCAATAAATGCTATCAGTACACTTACAGTTTACCTTCATCGTAAGCCGAATCATGCTAACCATCTCAAACCAAAATCCTACATTAGCAGCCGTTTTTCAAACTGGGTCTTGGTTTGGTGTATCGTATGCCATTTGCCACCATATGCATCTTCACTATAGCTACCTATCCATACTTTCTAACTGAAAATTGTGTATAATTTTACTGTTGGACCTACGCCTGATCATAACTCATCGTGACCCTCTGCTTCTTCTTTCGGTTCTCCAGCAAATCCTTCACCAGAATTATCTGCTGGTTCACCATTCTGACTGCCATTCTCAAAAGTTTTCTCCTTGGAATCTGAGTTGGAATCTATCTCTTTCTCTTTCTCCCCGAGGTCTGCGGTCTCATTGGTTGCGGGCTTCTCAACCTTGGGCTTTGGCTTGGGAATTCGATTAACGCTGGCAACCTAAGTACAGAGTAACCAAATTTCATTAGTTCTAAATTTTTGGCAAGAACTCACCAAACATTTACTCACTTATTTGAGCGAAGAGGACCTTTATGTCATTACCTTATCCTGCAAATCGAAGACCTTCTCATACACTTCCTCAGAAGTGAATGCTGGTTTGCTGAATCCAGAAGTTCTAGAGAAACAAATATATGAAAGGTAATTAGTTGTACTGCACATGCACATAAAATCTGGAAGTCTAAGCAATAAAACATCAGATTCAGGAACATACAACAGAAAATCTTAAGATAGATTTTGTACAGTGACAGATCATTCCCAACAATAAATTGGCTCGGCAGTCTAGGAAGATCAGTAAAAGATGAAGTTAATTTTCTTAAAAAGAATCCCCCCAAAAATCAAATTTTTTGAAATAATAATATTTGATTTCTTGAAAAGAAATATTTTTTGAAATAATCAAATATATCACCAAGTAGGTTTCTTGAAAAGAGTTTTTTCATAGTAAAATTTTTAGAACTTGATGAATGAACTTCATCATGCTTAAAGCTGATAAACCAAGCCAATGCTTAATATTATCATGCTATTAGTCTTTCTCAAAAGAGAACGCAATAATAAAACAGGACAAGAACCAAATGCTAAAAAAGTTGAAAAGCCATGGATCAGCTAAAGACTTCTAAACCCTCATAAAGTAGTAACAGTAAGAACTAAAAATGCAAACCACAAGAAAAGAAACATTAAGGAAAGAACAAAAACTTCTTAATAGCAGGGTGCACAGATTTTTGAAACTGTGTAGCTAAACTATACATTTCATTACAGAGAATTTTGACAATACGTATCTACTGGTCCTTTTGCATCCATTTCATGTTTGGAAAAGACCATTCGGTTTCTAAATAGCTCATCCTTGAGGACTATATGCCACATTGGCATTCATCATTCTATTCAAGAAACATTAAATAACAAGAGACGATTTTAGAACACTTAAAATTTGCAGGAATGACAACTTAAACCCTCATTTTCTAATTCAAACAATTAAAATCCTATACATCTAAATTGAACAAACTAAAATCTCCATTTAAATAGATGGATAAAAATGTTAAAAATTGGAAGCTTGTGCATCACATATAAAAAATTTGCAGAGTGTTTATACTCTTGCCCTTCAATAGCTCATATTTAAAGTTCTATACATAGTTCACACAGTATATCTCTAATTGATGCTTTCTGGAGTTCAAGATCAGGGAAATGTCTAATTTATTCAAAATCGTAAATTTTAGGGTTTTGACTGTGAAATTAAAATAGGAGCCTGTAAAAAATAAAACTCACTTCTGCTCAGCCTCCTTCTCATCCATCCACTTTCGGAACTTTTCAAACTCCTTTGAAACCTTAAGAACAAACATCCAAATATTCATGCATGAGCCTGACTATTCAGATATGCTCAACAGCCAAGTAAAGTATGGCAGACTATTTCAATGCAAACAAATTACCTCATCTATTCTAGCTTTCGGAAGCCAAGGCTTGTTTGTTTCCCAGCCCTGTATGATCTGAATGAACAGGAAAAGAAAAGAAAAAAGATGATCAAAAGCTGAACTCGTTTGGTACAATAAAGCCTGCAACTTGAACTAGCATATGCAACAATTTTTAGACACTAGTTACCAATTTGGAACCCAACAATTCATATTCTCCACAATTCCTATAGGTTATTTATTAAAAGGTTTACATATGTGGATCTCAAAAATCACCCTTAATAAGTTACTTTCCAATTGTTGATATGCTCCTCATCTTTATCTTTTTTCTTAAATAAAAAGTCATTCAAGGTACCAAGGTTGCGCTGCCCAAGGACAAATTATTTACAAAAAGGATCTACAAATAAAAGCTTTCTTGTTTATACTTGCATCCGCACCATGTAAAAGTCTAACTGGTTCATCCATCCATCTAATTAAGGGTTTCACGGCCTACATAATGCCAAAAGTTGAGGAAACCCTGCCCACATGCACCACCATATATATACACAATAAAGTAAAAAGATAATTTCTTTCTTGACTTGAAGCCAAGGTCATAACAACTATCTCACAGCACCTGTTGAAGTTCACCAAGGTATTTTCGAGCATATTCAACCGCTTCTGGCCGTGCAGTAAGTTCCTTAAATCTGCATATTAGGAAGATTGTATAAGCTAGCTATTTTAAGCCTTTGTGCAACTTCAATAATTTGCAAGAAACATAATTGGTCAGACCGGAAAAATATTGGTTCTCCAATAGCCTTTAATGAGTCTAAGCGTTCCTGAAACTCTGTAGCATTAGCATCTTCACCGTCAGTGTACAGCCATTCTTGTACCTGAATGTAAGGATGCCTATGTAAATTTTTTTATAAAGGGACCTTTGAGCTATTAAATTATAGAGGAAAAAACACTAACCTCATCAAGCTTTTGGATAAAGGATTGGCGTTCATCACTAGTAGATATCTTTTCAAACTCTTCATTTGTTTCAAGCTGCATAAGCAACATCATCAAGAAGTTTTGAAAAAGAAGTGTAAGAAAATATGCCCGCTTAGCAGAACTTGCATCTCACTAAAAGAGAAAAAGTAACTCATCCATGAGATCAAGCAGTTCATCCGATATAAACATAAAGTAATGTTAGAAGGAAATAATCAAGAAAAAGCTAGAAGTCTATTAGCAGCTACGTACGCTTGAAGTAACAAAAGGAGAATCAAGGTCTAATCCAATAGGGGATTCAAGAAGATTCACGATAGTTAATGCAAAAGATTTGATAAGATAGCATCACATAATAACAATGCCAGAAAAAGCAACAAGAACACTATTGAAATTAATGCTACTTTGTCATACCTTCTCTTTGGTAGCATATATATATCCTTCAAGGTTATTTTTCAACTCTGCAGTTCTTTTGCGCTCAGCATCCTTCTTGTTCAGTGCTTCTAATTTATTTTTCGCTTCCTCAAAAGATTCTTTTGAAAGAGTTGTTCCAGGTCCCACTGTTTTCTCTGCTACCTATAACCAAACAAAATAGGAAATGAAAATCAGGAAGAAAAAAAGAAATAGAAAAACTATGATGTAAGTTCCGAAGCAGCAGCTTCTTTTCACCTTTAGAGGCACCCTAAATGTCCGTTTTTTCAGTTTTTTGTCCATGCCAAGATCCGCTAAACTTGGTTCTTCAACAGTGGAGTTCGATGCATCAGTAACCATACCATCTGAAGGTGATTTTTCCTTGCTTTCTTCTGAAGTGTTTTTAGCACCAGCTTCAACTGATATGTTGGAGGAAGTAGTGGTTGCTTCTGCAGTCAAATTCTTTCTGGGAACTTCAACCCATTCTGATATTTCAATAACAGCATCAGCTCGATCCAAAGAAAGAATTCCAGATCTGCTTAGAGAGAAATGAAGATTTGCCTTGATAGGGGAGGACAAATTGCGAGATGAATACCTAGACAAAATGACAATAGCACACAAAAAACCATGTATCAGAACTCATTCAAAACTTTGGCACTGGAAAAAACAAAATAGTTTCAATAACTGAAAAAACTTAGACACCAATAGTCTGTATGGCATTTGGGAAATTGCTGTCTTACTTCTCACTTGCAGCTGCCAAACCGGAGACCGTATACTGCACAAACACAGGTGACACAATGCCAGGGGGTAGAACATCTTCACTATCATAAGTAAGTGAGACTTCAAAATCTTTGTTGTAGACAATGGATCTAAACATCTGTTAAGAAATCGATTCAAATAAGATTATGCAAACCAGAAGATAAAAGTTAATATTTAAAATCTTTCTTTTTCCATTTCACTCCAGTTTCCCACACGATGTTATTTACCTTACTGGGGAGCTTTTTCATCCGTTGTACAAGTAGCTGCCTGGTGCTCTCATCTTTCACAAGATCTGGCCCATCAAGTTCAACCACAAAACCATAGGAAGAACCATCAATCATTCCCAGCTTTCGGTTCAACTTGATTCCATCACTTAAATTTGCAGCATGTAATGCTGCCCCAAGAACAATAGCTTCATCTGCATCCAGATGTTTGTCAAGTTCTTTCTTGCCAACAAATTCCTGGAGTTTGTTCTGTTATAGAAAAAAAAACAACACTTAAAGAGTGTGCTTAGGGATTGCTAAAAGAAAATAAGCTTAAAGTACTAAAGTACTCTAAGTTATTTAAAGCAACTAAATTCTTATTTACAAAATAAGCAGTCCTAAAAAAAATTAATACAAAAATATATATTCATTACAAATATTTTATGACTTACAATTTAATATGTATATATTATTATCTTTAAAAAGATATCAAGCGGATAATTAACTAAATTAGTTAGATGAAAAAGAAAATACGAATTTAGAAAGTTAAGAAATATGGTGCTTATTTTCTACCTTCTCAAAATCACTTTTAAAAATCTAAGAAACATCCTAACTTTTATGTTATCAAGCATAAAGATTAGAACTGAATGCTTAAAGCTGCTTAGTTAAGAGTTATCAAATGTCAAGATAAGTAGCAAATAAGCAGTTAAAACACCCTCTAAATTACTTAGCTAGTGTTTGATATATGTGGTAAACAGCAAAAAGCTAAATTTAAAAATAAAAGTAAGGTGTTTGGAGTGAATAACAGTAGACAAAACAAATATGTTGTATTTTCACAATATATCAATATATCATGTAACCTAGATACTGTTACAATATTTGAGGTTAATTTATATGTTTTTAAGAGTTTTAAATTCAAAATTTACAGAGTTTTTTTTTTTAAATAACTACAAAAAAAAAAAAAATCAAAAGCCATCAGTAAACATTAGAAACAAAATAAAACAGCCTTTTCGATGAGAAAAAAACAGCCTTTTAAGTAATTGCCAGCACTGCTCTCACCAAAATTTACATAGTTTTAAGCTAGAAAGTTATTCAAAATTCAATAACCTAACTCAATAAAAATATACATTAATAAATTAAATAAAATATAAATGTTTGAATTAGTATTGAACTAATAACAAATAATTTAAAATAAATTTAAATTTCTTGTTTAATAAATTTGTTATAAATTAATACTTAAAGTTTCTACAAAACTAAGCTAAAATCTAATTTTAGAAAATCACCAAAAAATAGTAAGAGAGCATAAGTGGGTTATGATAGTGATGGATGAATAAGGTTAGTTTTTACAAGAAATTCTGTGCTTTCTTGTGGTACAAAATAGTCCCGTCATTTTTTAGGTAATAAATTTGTTCATTGAAAGTTTATTTTTTATAATATTCTATCCCTTCCCTTTTGCTAACCAAACATAACATTACACTTCTTTGTAGAGGTCATTCCTGCAAAATTGAGGAAACCAAAGACTACTTTATTCACTTTCCATGAACAGAAGAGAGTTCAGGAATACAGAACAGTAGCTAAAAAGAAAAGTGCAAGAAATTCTTCAAAATGGTATAGAAAATATTCAATACACCTCCTATTTTCCAAATGAGTTAACACAAATATGATTGAAAATATAGGCACAGATATCGGGATTTAATAAAAATCCTAAGATATTTTGCTGATAGAACTAATCATTGTATTTGTTTCTAAGAAGACGTTCATGAAATTTAACCAAAAAGGAGAAAAAAAATGCATGCCAAGCTTCTATAAGGAAACCCTGAAATCTCATTAAATTGGTTAATCAAAGCAACATATGGCTTAATGATGACTATATTTTTTTTCAAATTAACAATCTGCTCATAGTAGCGGATTAACCAGATGCAAGGGATAGATAGATGGATTTTACATAAAAAAATGTAAGGGCTAAAAGAAGCTTTTTGACAAGATTATCAAGCAAAAGAGATAATTTTAAATAGTAAGTTAGATAAGTGAATTGAAATGGTGAAAATGTGAACTGAGCTTGAAAATCTCAAAGATATTGACATAATCTGCTAGTAATGTGAAATCATAACTGCTTTTATTCATACACTAACACGGGAGAACATGCAATAGAAAGAATGTGCCAAACCTGCAACTTCGGTACCCTGGTAGCACCACCTATGAGTTCCACTGCATATATCTCATCAACTTTTAAACCTGAATGCTTAAGCACTTCTTTTACTGGTGCAAGGGCTCTGTCCCATAAATCTTCACAAAGTTCCTCAAACGTCTCACGAGTTATAGTGCTCCTGAGATGGAATAATAAAAGGTCTGAGGCATGCATATCAACTACGTGGATTTATTATGATAACTAGACCATGCATATCAACTACGTGGATTTATTATGATAACTAGACTATGCATATATATCAAAGTTGCAGTTTGAAGACAAGGAAATATGAATCTTTAATTTGGATTAAAAAACAAGCATAAATAGCATAAGGATTACTAGAATTCATATCTACCAGCGAAGAAGTCACCAGGAAAAAAGAAAAAAGCATGTTTAGATACCCAAACAGAAAGGAGAAAGTGTGACAAAAGTATAATGTGACAACAATAATATAAAATAATAATATCGTTGCGAAAATGCCATTTTGATGAAAAATTTCACCCTTTTTTGTACACAATGCAATATACAAAATCTCAACATCTTTTTGGACCTCAGGACAACAACAGAGCAAAAGGCCAAATTTTAAACAACTGAATCATGTCAAGCCTTATTTATAAAAAAAAAATCATGTCAAGCCTTAAAACTGATCCAACACTACTGAAAAAATGATCTACACCTCAATTGCTAGTATTAGAATATACGATTTTCTTCTTTCTATGACCAGATGAAATGCTAAAGAGATCCCTCCTTCAAGCCACTACCTTCTGATAGGTATTAAGACCAAATCTGCCATGAACAATACAAAGACTAATTTTTACAACAACCTCTTCCATCCGTTATTCAAGATATATTAGAAGAATTATGGAAAAGATCAACTAAAACTAATAGGACAATATTTTCTCAAAACAAAAAGTAATAGGACACTCAATAGAGTTGACTAAATAAGGATTCATCACTTATATATATATATATATAAGTATCTATTGTTTAACAGATCTTGCTTAATCATTCATACATTAGAAAACGGTCGATCATTGGTATAACAACTGTCTTTTAAAGGATAATCTGACACACCATAACAGCAGATAGACAAATCAATTAACTGGTTTTTTACTTCAAAGTTTGAATACCTTATTGCAGAAGATAGTATTTCAGCTTCACACAATCATTGGCCTTTTTCCTTTTTGCCCTTCTATTAAAGAAGGATCCTCTATTTAAAGTTTCCACATCAAAATAAAACTGCCAACTAGGATAAATACACAAAAGTCTTCAGAAAAGACTCTTTAGATGTGTTACAAAGTTCAATGTCAGCCAGCTAGCAAATAGTAAGTAATTAACAGAACTTTTATAACTTAGAAAACCATAGTAAATAATATGTTTAACTCATCATACCTAAAGTCCCGATCATCATAGATCGATTCAACAGATATTGGTGCCACAGTGTTTGCGCTTAGAATTTCTTTTGTGCGCTTAACCTGCTTTTTCAGTTTAGCCATTGCCTTGGGAGACTTTCTCACATCAACTCCATTTCCAACTTGTTTATTGATCTGATCTGCAAAGTATTCCACTAATCGCAACTCCATATTCTGACCTCCGAGTCCTGAGTCCCATCTCACATCCTTAACCTGTAGAAACAGTAAATTTCAACTAGCAGGTCAAGGGCAGTACATGACAAGCAGCTAAGCATTCAAACAGTGATAAAATGACAAACTATTTTGCCAAGGAAGACCTGTAGAATGCAAATGTTGGTATTATGTACCTATATAGAAAAATCTCATGACAAAGGATATGCATAGAAGCAAGAGCAATAGTGCTTCCATGAAGTACAAAAAAAAGCTCTATATGAGCAGAAGCATCCAAAAGTATCTAAAATGTAGACTGTTAAACAAAGGCGTAAGACTCTCTCATGAAATTGCAATATAGGCCACAAGGTAAATTGATTTCTATTAGAACAACCATAGCCTGTATGATAAAAATCAATTACTAAGAAAATGTTACTTAAACTAGTTTCTTACTAAATTACAAGATGGGCTACAATGTAAACTCCATTGTTAGTAAATCAAGTCAATTTTTCTAAGTCCACCTTTCAACTCTCAGCTCCACCCATGAATTAATATACAAACAAAAACAAAATAAAAACCATCTTCCAATAACAGAATATCTCAACTAATAGCTCTAAAGCAAGTTAGCTTATGAAGCTTTGATTTATTTTACAGATTAATTTTCTCTAAGAAATGCTTTCTATTTAGAAACTTGCACAAGGACGTAATTATTTGCCCACGCTCCATCGCATATTTATATGATATAAGTGCGAAGCTCAAACACATGCATAGACAAATCACCAATAAACAATATCAAGGGAAAAGTTAGAAATAGCTCTGCATACTTGCTGAAATGCAGATGCAAGAAGATACATACAATGAGAGAAATAAGCATGATGATCTACAACTCCATTTAGAAATTAACTCCTGTCAGAGGAAGCAACTGAAGTATGTGCAAATAAAAAATTATCAAACTAGACCTTAGCCTTTACTGAAGCAATGTTTACCTGAAATTGGTTTATAGAAACAGTCTCCCATACTCCTTGCCATTATAGCAGAGAAATACACGAGTGCTGCATAGTACTGCTAGAACCCATATCATAAAA